GCATGGAGCCACGGCCGGATCCCACTGCTCTGGGTGTGTGGCTAGTGCTGTACTGCATGCATGTGGAGCGCTCTGGGGAGAATTGTACAGTGCACACCAACCAGGCTGGCGACGACATCATCATGATGTGCAATGACTGCATTCATGCCTTGGAATGTAAGCACTAAACACTGGGTCGGGGGAACGAATGTGTGGCAACATATGTATTTGATGGGTTTTGGCGGCTGCTTTCCTGTGGGATGTTGTTCGTTGTGGCCGGTTCTGGGGTAGGCTGCTGGGACAGATGCATTTCATGAGAATTTGCATGTGGTGCTTTCGTTGCCGATCATGTGTGCTGGGTGTTCATGCATGCATGCACGCAACCGCACTGGTTATTCTGGCTGGTCTGCCCTGCCTGTGGCTGCTGCCTCCGCATCCAGGCGGACACATCCCGGAGGCTGCTCTCGCACGCTATGATGGTGGAGACGTGCTGGAAATCAATCAGGATGGGCAGCATCTGGAGTGGCCTACCGTGCTGGAAGCCAACATACTGGGGCTGGGCCATGTGCAGCAGCAGATCTACACGCTTAAGGTTAAGAACCGGCCGCCTGACTTGCAGCCCATCACCGTCACAATGCACAAGATAGCCATGGCGAACCCATCACTCGATCAGTGGGTGGACACCATCCCATGCTCTGCTGTGTCGTTGCCGGAGAACATCACCGTCCTCTGCATGGATGTCGTCAGCAGCAAGGAGGAGCTGCTAGAAAAGCTCAAGAGCACCAAGGTGTTGTCCATCCGAGCAGCTAATATTGTGGCCTGGGTCAACTACCTCAGCAACCTCACCTCCGAGAGGCATATCGATGACCAAGCGATGAAGGAGTGGCAGGCAATGGACCCAGAGTGTCACAAGCGGACAACACACCGGAGGATGCTGGTCTCGAGGAGCTCGGAGTTCTGGTGCCTGTTGTCCCTGACACAACTGTGCCGGGATCAGGTGATGATGCACGAAACCCGGTGGAGCTACACCGTGAGCTGACAGCGGAACACCGGCTGGTCTTTGCGTCTGGGGGCAGTGGTTCTAAGGTAAGCTGGTAATGGGTGGGTGAAGTGTATTCCCTGATGCGCTGCTACTCTCGTGCGTGACACACCCGCATAAGGCTTGTGCCTCCTCACTGATATGCATATCACAATCGACCTGCCCAATGCATGCTCCCTGCTCTATGCCTCCGCCCTGCTGCAGATCCTGGACTACTCCCGGGAAGATGTGCTTGCCAGCAACTTCCCCACCGCATTTCTGTACACAAAGGGCGGCATCCGTCCCCTGGGTATGAGCAACCGGACCTTCTTCCAGCATGTGTCTACGCGTGTGCCACAGCGGCAGCTCAGCGGCAACCTCCTCATGCTCGCCTGCATGGTGGACGTGCTCAACATGGAGGACGCAAAAGTGCAGACATGGGTTACAGTGAAGTGCTGCCAGCAGGACATCGACACGGTGGGCGCCATCCCGCGAGAGGCTGTCAAAGTGATGGCGGACATCCTGGCATTGCCGAAGATGCACCCGGATCGCCGCCACCTGCTCCAAGACATGTCACCTCTCGTGCACACCCTCATCACCTCTCTTCGGTGAACAGTCGCACGCATCGACATGACAGATGCATATTACCACAACGTGCACGCCAATCTACGTGGTGTAGCCACCGCAACCGGGCTGCCAATCCTCATGTTTAATGTCAACCCCGCCGACTTGCACAGTGCGGCTGCAGTCGTGGCCGCTGGGCAGTTTCTGGAATTTGGCGAGGATGGTGCTCCGTTGTGGGAGGAGCGTGTCATGGACAAGTGGTGGCGGGTGCGAAACAACCCCTGCACCAGCCAAGCACTCCTCAACACGGTTAAGATCGCCTTCATGGACATCCTTTTTGGTTTCAAACCTGGCGACAAGCGGCAGAGCAACCCCGACTGCTTCTGTGGCACCGTGTTCCACATCTGCATCTGTTACATGGCGGCCCGCGGTGAGGAACTGCATCTCTTCGCAGTGCCCTGCATGATGGCTGACTTTTGCAATGCAACACTCCGGTGCTGCTATACTACACATTCCTAATATGCGGTTTCAGCCGCACATGCCGTACACAAAGCACCATACACCCGTGAATGTGAAGCACCAGGGCATGCGACCGCGAGTACACACAACGCGTGTGCACGTGAATGTATGACCGCATGAAACCGTACGTGTAGTACTGCAAATATTTGCCGAACGCAAGGATGTGAGATGTGAGGTGTGACGGTGAGACATGTATGTGACAAGGATGTATGGTGGGGATGTGAAGTGTGAGGATGCGACAAAGATGTGAGGTGTGAGGATGCGACAACTGGGGCCGTGACAGACTGGGACTGTACTCATGCATCATGGGGATGCGACACGGCCCCATGTATGCACTACAGTGAGGCGGTGAGGACAGGCACCCGCCCAGACGTGAGAATGCAACGGCACTAGAACACGAGAACACAAGCATGCGTCCAGGGTGTGGCAATAGCTGGGTTCTGCTCATGACGACCATCAAATGCAGGATCGTCCGCGCAGACTGCTGTTACTCCGCTGCTGACGATGCTGCCACCGTGGTGATTTCATGCAATTAGTGTGATGCGAGCCTAGGCGGCATTATTCACTTCACCGCTCACAATCCGCGGACATTCCTTGTGCCGTGCTGCTATCAGGGCCCCTCATCGATTGTTGTTATGGATCGTTGCTGTTGGATGCCAGACGTGAACCTTGAGAATGACCTCCTGCTACGGCACTGCTGGCGGTGGCTTGCTACTAAGCCACCCTCCATCACAGATGTAATGTAACTGAGTCCTCGCCACTGCTTCCCCACATTATTACCGTTCTCACCTACGCACCACACAGCACCTTATGCACCACACACCCACACCTGGCCTGGGAGTCGAAGCTACGGTCCACTTCGCGGCGCGCCGCGGTCCCCTTCGCGGCGCAGCGCGGTCCGGTTGTCCGGTTGTCCGGAGCGTTTTGGAAATTCCGGGTCGGGAGCGTGCCGTACACGCTTAAGACAGTGCCGCAAAGAACGGTAGGTCGCCGGTTCGATCCCTGCAGCGATTATGTCTTATGTTTCATATATGTGCATATATGCATATATGTAAATGCGATATGCAATATGCAGCGATATGCGATATGCAGCGCTAT